CTTTTTTTTTATTATTACCGCTGTCTAGTTTAGCCCTTTGAAGTTTTATTTTTGCAGTATAAGGAACATGTGAACGTGTTGGGTGTTAAACCAAGGAACCTTTGTTTCTCACCAAGTGCTTGGAGAGCTGAGCCTTCCTGTGTTTGAGGAACTGATCAAACACCTTCACCTGATGTTGGACTCTGATTAGAAGAAAAAAAAAGGCCGTTTGATTTTGTATCAGTGAAACAAACACAAAATGACAACAAGGAGGGACTGTGGATGAAGTTTCAGGTAATGGATTTAACTATACCGATAACAGCATGATGTTCTGGGCTTTATCTTTGGTCTCATTTCTATAAAACGGTATTTGAAAAAGGAAACAGTTTTGGCTGTTATACCACAATGCGTTGTTTTTTTCTTTTTAGTACGAAATAAAAAGATGTGGACAGTTTTGACTTTGTCAGGCATGTCTTCTGACAGTTTGACTTTGACTTTATTGAACCTTAAGTGAACGGCATCAGAAATAAACGCTAAATACTTGAACAGTACACACTTCTCCAAGTAATCACCATCAATTTTCACTGATTTATGGTTTTACAAAACTGTAATTTAAAGCAAGGCAGTTTTGTGCCCCTTTAAACCAGTTCTTACTTTGTGAGACTGAGGTCAAACAGTTCACCCAGATATCTGGGTTTATCCAACAAGGCTGCCAGAGCCCAGAAAGCCTCCTCCTCTCCCAGCTGCATCAGCAGCACAGCAGCTATGTAGGACATGCCTGCAAACAAACACAAAGACACACTAGTATCCTTTTAACTCTAAAGGACAAAAATTACTTTAAGTATTGTTAATGCAGAAAAAATGTGCCAATGTGTTGTAAGATAACAGCCAGATTCTGTAAAATTAGCAGGACGATTGTTTATATTCCGGTTAGCCAAAGCTAAAAGTTGTAAAATAATTTCTAACTTAACTAATCGGTATTTGAAATCATATTAAGGTAAGAAAAATGAAACGGTCCATGTCAATATGGATGGACAGTTTAAGTGCCAATATTGCTTCTTTTTTAACCATTTACATAATTAGAATTACGCATTGATAACAGATGTTATGCAAGTATCAATTTAAACAAAAAATGAAACATTTCTTAACAAATCAAAACTCTAACAATGGATGGTTAATGGAGGAAGTGTCAATGCAATCGGCGAATGTGTGCAACCATCAGCCGATGTAAGAATGCTACTATTGGCCATAAATATCGTAAATCAAATCTCTCATGGGGTCTCAATATCATTACCTATATTTGATGTTATTTTACAGTTCCTTTGGCCACATAAACTAGATGAAAGTAGAAAATCCTTCTTACATACTCTGTATTAACAAGGTGACAAACTTTCATTTTTTTTATTTTGGTCTTAGGGCAGTAGAGGCCAAATGGAACAACAAAATGACTTTTCTGTAGATTTATAGTTTTATATATATACAGTTATATAACATTTATTCTACTAGTTGAAAATGAACAGGTGTTGTTTACACAAAGTTAAAAGTGTGTAACTTAATTTGGGAAACTGTCTGAGCTAACCTGTTACTTACCGACCGTCCCTTTATATCATGGTCTTACAGTTACTTAGTTCAACAAAAACAGATCTTTTAAGTTTTGTTATCCATCTGGTAAAACGTCATTTATCATAGATAAACGAACACTAGAGTTGCACCCAACTCAGCATGCGGACTCTGCATTATGTTATCATTGTCTGGGCTACCCACAATGCTTTACGCCATCGTGGCAACTTTCAGACAGTCATGTAGTGTAAGGTCAAAGGTATGCGCACAGCCCAAGCAGACCTGACCGCCGGAGCAGATCTGGTAGCTACACCGTTAATCATCTGTTGAACTAAATCGTGAATAATACAGAAGAGAAATAAAAGAAACTTGGGAATTAAAACAAGCTGTTGTGATGTATCTGATGAGATGCAGAGTATAATCAGAAACTGATATCCAAAGAGGATCTTATTAAAGAATTTGATTTCTTTATTTTGTGGCTCAGCTGCTGTATGTTTAAAACCTACTTAGCAAAAAGTTTGAAGATGGAAATAAAGTAGAAGAACAGAGAGAAAGAATAAAGACACTGATAATAATAATGGGTTAAAGAACAGTCCTTTAACACCAAGTGGTTAATTTTTGAATATTATTTATACGGGAAAGGGGAATTGGCAAGATGAGCAACTTGTTTAAAGCTATTAAATAATGCTTGGTTGATTGTTTGAATTAGTGAAGAACACAGGAAAGGATTAAAGACAGATTAGAGACAGACAATGGGTGCGTTAGGGTATCTGCTACAAAGGACACCGGTGACGACATCAGGAAGGAATAATGAAACTAATGAGGTCACAAAAACCTAGATGTCCAAAGTGGTTAGAGAATTTGCTGATCAACTACTGTAGTCACTGCTTCCCTTTGTGAAAATTTTGTACAAGCAGGCATGGCAGGTAAACAACAGGGTAGAATGTGGAACAGATGAGGGAGAACAGAGAGGATGATGAAGCAGGAGAGAAGTAGATAGTGACTGTTTTCAGAAAGTGTTGAATTTCATAAATCAGTGAATAAATAGGATTTATTAACCTGAAAAAAGTAAAATAAAGACAAATCTTTGGAGGGAGAAGGTAGGCATGGGAGCTGGGGTGTTTTGTGTCTCTATAATCCTTAAAGGGGTCATAGAATGTAAACCGAGTTTACATTGTCATACTGTAGATGAATAACAATAGTTCAATGGGTGAAATGGACGAACAGAGAAGTTCAAACCCCACCGACTCCTCCTTTCTCAGTAAATCTCACAATTCTAAACTTCCACCATAAAACGCGCAAATTTGAACGAAGCACCAAATTGACGTCAATTCGGGAACGTTGCCTTATTTAGTTCTGTCCTGTACTTTTGTCACGCCTCGAAATTTACATACTTCACTGCCCCAAGAACATGAATAGAGGTAGATGTAAGACACAGGTTTAGCCGTTTAGCCTACAGTTTCATCTGCGGGATATTGCAAAAATTAGAAATCTCCTGTCCAGGGGTGATGCTGAGAAACTAGTCCATGCATTTGTTACTTCAAAGCTGGACTGTCGTAATTCTTTACTATCAGGAAGTCCACAAACTGCAGTTAAAAGCCTTCAGCTGATCCAAAATGCTGCAGCCAGATAATGATAATTAAAAAGAGAGATCATATCTCTCCTATCCTGGCTTCTCTTCATTGGCTTCCTGTTAAATCAAGAATAGAATTTAAAATCCTCCTTCTCACAT